CGAGCTCGTGCGTCGCATTGTCCGATAAATTGTAAAAGAAATATGACGTTGGCGTAATTTCATGGCCACCGTGTATAATTGCATCTATAATGAAACACGTTAACAGGATGAATGCAATATTTATCGCAGGGTCGCTGGAAACAGTGTATTACCCGTGTAATAACATTAAAAATAAAATGCAAATTAGCGAAATTAATTACATGTAAATAAGTGCCAAAATTATTATGTACGAGCGTTTTGCATTTCAAATCTGTTTCGAGAATTAATTGCATAATGTCAAAGGAAATTGTCACACGAGATATTTTCTTAGTATTTATCATTTTGTCAAATATTTTACACGATGTCGGTATATCGCTATATCGATCATTCGGTAATGGAATGTCATCGGGTTGAGTTCTATATTTATTGCAGGACCGTTGGGAAATACGTATAACATAAATGTAATAACATTAAATAAATGGATGAACGCGTCACATGACAATCTTTTATAGTGTTATTAGTTTTGGCGTGTGAAGTTTCTTTAATAAAGATAAATTTGGAAATTCGGGAATACTTATATATAACAGTACTTTACGTCAAATTTTAAATTATTTCTATTCGTGATCTCAATTTTGCTCGCAGAGGATTATCTAATTAAATCCAATGCGATTAACGTCTCCACGAAGTCATGTCTACTATGACACCGGCATTAGTTCCCAAAAATAAAAAATGCACGAATATTCGCGAATATTCAATCTCGCGGAGAGCAGTATTTCAAAAATGTCGAAATTTCCAGCACGCCTGTTATTCGCACCCACCCGGCTTTTTTTCCGTACCAACTACCTCCCTCTCACACGCTTTTTTGTGAAACTTTCGGCATCCTGAGCGCGATCATCGACACGCAAAATTCCGAATCGAAAAGCGAGGAGTGCGCGCGCACAGTATCAACATTTTGTACATCCCACATTTCGTCCCGTTGTTTTAATATCCCTTTGACGCAACGGCAGACCGTGTCCGCCGGGGTTTTTGCGCTGAAAATATTAAAACGGGCGGAGGGGCGGAGAAAAAACACACACGCACGCTCGCGCGTGCAAACACACGTATGTGTTTGCACACAAAAAAAGGTGGCGAGCGAGAAGAGCAAAACCGTACATCAATGGCCGCACAAAGCGCGTTCGGATTCCTCGCGATTAAAATGTAGTGTAAACGGCTTTTGCTATCCTCTCCCTCCTCCGCTCATTTTTTTTTATTCCCATATGAAATCGACCGTTGCATTCTTTCGCGAGTTAGCGCGGCGCGACTAGATTTGGCGGGAAACCGCGTATCGCGTTGATCGTTTTCGAATCTCGAAAATGGAATAAATTGCAATTCGATCGACGAAACTGATAGAATCCACAGTTGGATAAAATCGTGTTTCTAGAACGTCGAAGGAAACGATGAAGACTTTACAGATTGTGGTTATATATAAAACATAGTTAGACAAGATGTAGAAAGTAATATAACATATTATTACAATATATAAAATTATAACATAATAGATTATAAAACGTAGATAAAAATAAAATTATTATATCGATAATAACGACAATGCGATAATGCTTTCTCACAGATTTGACATTCGCGTTACGTCGTCCAATTTAAAGTTTGCCTCGGTCATTCAGACGTCCTCGTAGTTTCCAGGATGATCGAAAGAAATAAGTGGAAAGAGACTAACGAGCCGGCACAACGCGATCTCGTGCTGAAAGAAAAGTTAAAGGCGCGAAAAAAAAATCGAAGTATCGACTGTCAGCTCGGGTGCATTATTGTCGTCGTCGTCGTCGTCGTTGGCTATCTTTGAGCCGAGTTAATGCACCGGCGACTAGCCCCACGCAGTCGTGCATACAAACGACGAGACGCGCCGTACGACATGCAAATACCGTTATATAATTGCCGATGTCACGCAATCGGCTCGACAGCGCCGCGACGACGACGACGACGACGACGACGACGACGATGACAATGACGCTACGACACGAAGCCATATCAGTTCCCCGGCAAAAAAAACTGGATACCGAGAAATGTTCGTTAACAACGATAAAGAGCAAAACTCGCAAATGAATGGCGAGTATATGGCACGAAATCGACGACATCGAATTAATAAGGATAGACAAGCTAGCTATAATGAATTAATAATATTATTCACTGATTATCACAAGCTCAGCCTGTTTAGATATCATTGATAACTTGTTAATCAGTTCCGATTTAAATATTAAATATTTCTCACTATTTAAATATAATAAGTATGGATTTTCAAAATTCTACATAGCAGAATTTTAATTATGATAAATTAAAAAATAAAAATAGAAAAAATACGTTTTGTATTTAAACGGTTTAAGTTATATTGCAAATTTCTAATTTTATAGTGCAGTTTATCTTTTGTCACAAAATATTAAATTGTAATAAAATAAATATACATGTTTGTTACAATTAAAATATTTTTTATTAATATGATTTTTATGGTATTATATGCTGCGCGAATTTGTTTTTACGAAACCTCTATCTCACTGCTTGTACCACCAATCAAATTCTCAAGTAGAAACGGTCAAGCAATGGAGAGGACAGGGAGTACAGTCAGCAATAAGTGCGGCAATGTCGTTCACGACATTAATCCCTGCCATTTCAGGAAAATGCATTTATAAGCTACTTCGGTTTTACACCGCAATGAGAATAATATACGCTTGTACGCTTCCAACTGCATAATTTTAAATGTTGATTTATGCACTCCATTAACTTGACTGTTATGTTTTAACGTTTCTTCTCCGATATTACGCAAAATTAATCGATGTAAGTAGCACAACATACACTTTCGCCGTATTTTATAACTAGAAGATAAATTTAAATAAACTCACAATTATCTAAATATATAACGATTATCTTAATACTTGAAAAGTAAGAATAACTATTTTGAACTCTAAATACTACAAACACGAAAGTGTTGTTTTCAACTTAAAAACTTGTTTAGTCAATAATTAATGATTTTATGTTGCATTTGGCAAAATTAATAAATATGACTTAATTCTTGAGATATTTATTAAAATCGTCAGTTATATAATTAATTAAAGTAGATCATGATTAGTAATTTAAATCGCTCTTTTCTTATAGTTTTAAAGACAAAAAAATTTGCAAGATTGTTCGAATAATGCTATTACATAACTTGATTAAATTAAGAGTCGAACGAAAAAGACGTAGGTGTCAAGTGTGGCTACAGAAGGAATGAGAAAGAGAGGGGACGTAGGTGCCGTTGCACTTGCGTTGCAGCAATCGCATTACATCGTCGCGGTGCATACGAAGTAATCTCGTCGTGGTAGGCCCAGACAAGCTGTCGCCGTAGCGCATTCTTGCGGGCGAGTTAGACGAACAAAGATGGAGCATCGCTCGAAAACAGAAACAAAGAGAGAGATAAAATGGTCGAGTAAAGATAATAATCGGGACAGCAGGAGAAATGGCAGTCGATAACATTTGAAAAGTTTAACACTTCTGCCATGAATCATAACGGTATAAATAATAATAGCGCGTTAAATAGTTTTTTAACTTAAACAGTCCTCAGATTAAAATTGTGCTAATGTATATGCGAATGAAATAATACACCACTTTTCCTCGCTAGTTTACCAATAATAACATCGGCGCGCTACTTTGAAATTCCTATGTCTCCGTTCCTAATTCCTGCATCCCCTTTTGTCTCTCCGTCCAGCAGGAGTTGATTATTCATGCGCCCCATTTTGCCACGTTTTACTTTCATGACCGCTAATAACTCGGGATCTGCGTCTAATCGAATTTATGCAAATGACAATTAGATATATACAGATACGTTTGCTCGCACACGTACTCCTTTATATACATCTCGTACATATGTACACATGGAATGGAACAGTTTACCGGAATTACTCGGTTGCGTTTGTTGTCTCGATAAATGTTTCCGACAGAAATTGCTTAGCATATGCAAAAAAGCAATAATATAAATTAGCAATATTTAAAATTATAATTTGAAAGTTTTTAATTGGTATAACAAGAGAGAAATCGTATGTAAAAAAGTTGTTCTCGTTCAAAATAATAAATTGTGAAAAATTTAGTTTGTTGCCGAGAAAATATTCGAGAGATCAGATTGACATGATTATTTGGGAAATATGCGAAATTGCGAACGAAAAGCATGCTATTTCATTATCCAGCTGTCGACGTACTTATATTAACATTAACGAATTTTAATTAAAACGCCTCGTAACAGGGAGCGTGTATTCGGATAATTAGCGTCCTACGTTATCTTCAACATTTTCGAGTGCAATTGTGTCTGCATTTTGTGACACATTTCGCTTGTATTTACATATCGTCTATTTAGAAGAATATGATCCACCAACGTAGAAAATATAAAATATGCTTTTTTCCGTTAAAAGTTTCAAAAACAAATCCTTGTTTTGCACAGGAAAAAAAAACGACACAAGTACAATTTCACGATCATATCGCTCTTCTAAATGAGCGATATGCAACGGATAAATTTCAACGGTCCTCAAATTGCGCAAAAATATCCCATGTATAGAGAAAAATGTAGAAAGGCACTAGAAAAAAATAGAGCGAACGAATCACATTGTGGATGAGAATGCCGTTGCATGTGAAACAGAAATTAACCGAATAATAATTGGTTGCAGATTGCGATTTAATTATAAACACAATAATACGCTTTGCTGCATTACATATGTGCAAAATCACCCCACTCTTATTTCGTGGAAGAGTGCAACGTTCAACATGGCATAAAAACATTGATATAATTATATCATATAATGAAATACCTGTGTAGATAACGCTGGTAACATTGGTGCTTTTTATATCGATATTATTTCGCTTTTGTTCTTGCTAATTACATTTCAAACCCGAAACTTTGACTTAACTTGATGCACGGCGAAACACGAAGGTTAAACGAGCATTTAATGCTCGAGCATAAATCGCAGATGCACCATAACATAATTCACATTGCAGACGACATTACTCACCGGCAAGAACCCCGGCCATGTAAACCGCGGCGATCCTCAGGCTTCCGTGAACCATTTCCAAGGGAAGTCCCACGACCACCTGTACCCCCAGGTTAAACAGCAGGTGAAGCCATCTGAAAGAAAAAAAAAAAATAACCGCATGGTAAATTACCAAGGCATGTCAATTGTTAGAGCGCAGCGCGCTCCGGAAATTTTTTAATTTAATTATGGCGCAATTGCATGGACGTACAACCTTTGAAATGTGTTTATGGCGTGACTCTGTTGTTACTTCAATCAAGATAATCATGTTACTAATGAGATAAATACGACATTGCAATATTTTTTAATGACGAATACAATAACCATGAAATTTTTGAACATAAAAACTTAATAAAAATTAAAAAATTAATTTTTATTAATTGTATGAATTATTACGGAATCATATTTGCGGCGGTATCATAATTATTATGTTGTAAAGTAATTAAGTACACGAGGCTCCGCCATGAAAACGTTGCCAAGTTAACGCGAGTTAACACATCGGTGCAACTTCGGTCGCCGAAGATCGCGAAAGTTCGCGATGTAGATCCGAGAGAAGAGAGGCTGTCGTTAATCGTGAATTATAACGCCGCAGGCGGTCGGCTATAGTTTTAATTAGGAACATCTCGTTAGCAATCCTTCCCCCCTCGCCACCGTTGCCGTCGCCGCCGCAGCAGATAAGACTCGACGACGGAGAAGCAGGCGGAGGAAAAGTCGAAAACGCGATGACTGCGAGTCGCGGTGGATTCCGCGCCGACGGTTCGTGACTATCGGCACGGCCGAGAGAATTGCGGTAATTATACTTCTCCACTTTGCTGGGCGGGGTAAGAGAAGGGGGGTGGGTCGCGCTAAACAATATTCTTATTCGCTCGGAACGTCGTTTCGACGAAAGTGCCGCGGAGGTTACGAAGAGCGCCGCGGAGTGAAATAATTGCGAGATACCGGCCGCGGTCGGAGGAAAGTTTTATCAGCGACTTCTGGGCCACAGAAGCACGAAAATCCGATACCTGGCCGTTATCGTGAAACTTCGCCCGACTAATTATTACATCTCGCCGAGGATCCTCACGCGCGCGCAGACGTCAGACGGCGATGATAAATCTCGCGAGAAACGACGTAATTTCGCAGTTTCATAAAGTGCTGCAAATAAAATGATGGCGAGAAAGGAAGGAAGGAGGAAGAGGAGGAGTAAGCGTTTACGTTACGGAATATTCCAGAGTCATCGAGTTGAGATTAGAACCGAAGCTGGAGGGATTTCGGGCGTATTCGGCAGCGATGGCTGGAACAAGAGCAATGCGAGATAAAACGCGGAAAAGATAAGAGCTAGAGCGAACGATACGATCGAGACGTTGGTTGGTCTTAGATAATTCCTTCGGCCAGTGGTGGACTACTGATGGGAGAAGACTGCGCAAAGAACAGGGCTGTAGAGCAATTATGAATACTATCTCGCAGTAAGGAGGAACTTTCTAAGCTAGCCGGAGAATGATCGTTCTTCTTATCTATCGTGTCACACGCTCGAGAGCGTGGAAAATCCGGGAGAGCGATTCCCCAGTTGACACGCTCGCGAAAGATCTGGGTTGTTGGTTGAGACGAGAGATGTACTATTACTTGTAGGATGATGCAAATCGCATAATATAATTTTTATAATCGCACATTTTATTATCACAAAAAAAGAACTAATTTCTAATCAAAAAACTATATTATTTTTTCTTAAACAAGAATTGCTTTTTGTTTCTAAAAAAATTATTTTATTTGAAATTTTTTGAATATATTTCTTCCTAAAATATTCCTAAACATTTTAGCTTTTTAGATTTTCAGATTACAAAAATTTCATTTTTTTTTTATTAAATTCTATAAGTAATATTTTATCTTTGATTAAATCTCGCAGATTGAAAAATTGAAAAAAAAAAAAAAAAAGAAAAATGTAAATGCTTACTAGAACGACTGAATACCGATGAAGCAGGCTTCATTCATTCTCTAATAGATCCGACCCTAATTACTCTCCTAATTTAAGCATGTCCACTTAACCGACGCGAATTTCTTGCGTTCACTGGATTTTTCCCCATGGAACGAGACTCGATTCAAAAAAGAGGAAGAGACGATTCCACAGAGGTCTCTTTGCATCGGGGCACGGTCGGCCGCAATTAGCCTGCGTGCACCGTAGTCCCGTAGTCGCGACGTGCGCCTAGGAAGCGACCAATTTGCATCGGGTACGAGGTCTAATCGTCGTCGTGCGCCCTGTCGCAATGCGGTCAAACGGAAAAAATGCAGTTGCTAGAATGCTCAAGTATTGTACGTGAGCGCATCGCCGATCGTCGTCAGACAGAAATGGATGCCACGGCCTCCGACTGTCGCATTACCGAGAAACAATTCGAACGGAGGGCGGGAGGAAACTAACCGTGATTAGGTCAGAATTAAATCGACGCTCGGAATTCCAACGGGTTTCTTGCCGTCTCGTTGCCGCGCGAATGCAAATGCCGATGGCTCGATCGCGAGGGCGGAAAATCGGAGGTCGCCGCCGCGTCGGACGGACGTGATGTATAGGCATCGATACGTTTTCAGAATGCAATCATCGGAATGGAACGCGCGTAAGGAGGCGTCTCGCGTCGCGTGCGACCGTGGAAGAGCGGTTCATAAATTTTCGGTCTTGCCGTCGGTGCTATTTGCCGATGAAACTTCTCGATGGGACTTTCGCAAAATAGCTTTTTTAATCTTCCATTCAGATCATTCAATTGTCTATTTATAAACGTTATTTTCAATATTCAATTTTATATCTCACATAATATAGAAAATTCTAACAATTTAATATTAATTTTAGATAGACAAATTTATTTTTAATTGATGTTTTTATAAAATTATTTGCATTTGCTTAAACTTTACACAATTGCTAGAAATATTATAAAATTAAATTAAAGAATTTGCTGTAAAATGTACTTCATTCACATATTTTTTAAAAATTATTGAACAATACGCATTGTTCGGCTTCATCGTTACTTCATTGGCAATCAGAAAAATAGTATTAGTCGTATAAATTAATAACGGAATCAATATGCATATTCGGACGACGCGTCCGATAAAATATAACGGCGTCTATCATTGAACAATGGACCGCGCATTCGCGCGCCTCTCTCGCAATCAGCAAAATCTGCTCCCAAGACATTCAAATCACGATAAGGTTCTCAAATCGACCGCCGCCAATTTCGGTTAATTAGATACCAATTAGAACGAATTTCGGGCATTGCGCTGAGCAGACGAATTTCTCGATTTCCACGTCAGGATCATCTCCCTATCCTTTTTCCTCCGCCATCTGTTTCGGTCTAGGACGGACGAAGGCGATGTCGTTCGTGAGGGCCAAATTTCCATTCGACGAATACGAATGACGGTAACCGGCCTTCTACGACGGGTATCTATTCGTCTTATCGTTTTCACCGTGTCGTCCGGATAGGAAGGAAAGGACCGACGGGCTTTCTTGCGCGTTTCCAATTTCGACGATTGCGTACTTACGATGAATCACAATGCGATCGATACTCATAGATTCGCTATTCCAAAAAATACTGAACGATCTCCTAATAGCAAACGGATAATCTCTATAATCAATTTAAAATTACTCAAAGTTGTACATTTTACATTTTACTAAAAAATGCTAAAGAATTAAGATTTTATATAACCAAAAGAAAGATAAGACTTAAATGCTTCCAATGTTTCCAACATTTCTAGTATACGGCTGCATTTAATTCGATTTTGTTCGACAATTCGCGATAATTCGGGATCACGTGAGCGGATCGAAAGTATTATCGAGCGCAGTCAGTGCCGGTAACTTCGTGCCGAACCAGGAACGAAAGGATAAAGTTCCTGAGCAAGTTGACTCTAATGTTCCACGGGCGCAAGTGGTTTCGTCAGCGCCTCTAACTACTTGCTAGTAGTTAATTACGCGCCGAAAACTTCTTACTTACGAAAGGAGAAGGCGTGGACGAGCATGTCGAGAATGATGTTTCAGCAGTCAGCGATCCCGCACGGACGCTTCGGGGAAACCCCGATCTTAATTCCGATGACAGATTCTTTGATCGATTTCTTCCGTCGATGTCTTCCGTACTAAAATATCGCTGCGTTGACAGTCTTCGAATTACGATTGAATGTGAGGAAAGTTTTGTAGATTAAATTTCGGAGTGTAATTTATTGCAATTACTGTCAACTGCGTGCTTGATTATCATATAAAGAAATAAGTGTTTATGATTTGCCGCGATAATAATATCTATTGACAATATTGCAAAATGTAAAACAAAAGTTAGTTAGTTCATGTGATTAGATTTTCTAAATAAAAATTATATACATATATGAAACAATTGAACTAATTAATTGTTGTTTTCATAAGACTACATATTGTTTTCTATAAATCATTAGTGCTTCTATGAAGCATTAATTGAGAGTTCATTTATTATCTCGGCTCGTATAATATTAATTGAGAAATTTTTACTGTACTGAATATTTATGCACAATTATTCCACGGAGATTCTATTATTAAATCATTACTATTGCGAAATATGCAAATGAGTCTTAAATTAAACACATTGTTTTAGATAATTTATAATTCACGACAAGATTCGAGATAGAATCATATCATTGATATATATTTATTTGATATATATTTTGTACCTGCATGTACTCTGATTTTTAATTGTTTTCTATATTGCACGACAAAAAACTATATTTAAATATTTATAGAATTCTCTTATTTTATATCGAATTATAAATCGTTCAAAACTTTACGCAACATTCAGTATTTTTGTTGCTGCAATTTTGTTAAGTAGCAAAACAAAATATTAAATTTTTTCCGTTGATCTTTTTATTAAAGTAACTTATGCGAAACAGTTTTTTATAGACGTACACCATTTTCTACCTTCTTTATTGGAAAATATATTTTTTCGTATCAAAAAATTTGGATGAATTTTCCTTTTTGCTAGAATGTTTTTTTCGTATTGAAAAATTTCATAATCAAAATATTCAATGCAGAGTATATTTTACCGATTAATTCTTATAATTAACATATCGACAACTAATCGTATAACACGGCATGGAAATTTGCATCCCGACTTTCTGAGGGAGAAGAGGATAGACTGTAATCGCGCGTGTAATTTATTCGGTAACCTTCAACAAGAATTTTTATTCGTGGAGGGTTGAGTTAGCGAAAGTTTTGGTCCACGTGGCACGCGTTGCGCGCACGAGAGGCGAGAAGGTATCGCTTCGGTGATATTAAGGGGCACAGCCTCTGCTGCATTTATGCGACATTAGACGGACTCGCGGTATAATGGCGTGCCGCCGTACTCGTCGCGCATGCATAATGTCGCATCGGTAGCGAGTGACGAGGGCTTATATAGACGATGGAGCGCCGGCGACGGCGGCGTGGACATCGTTATTTAAATTGAGTTACGAGTCGAGAGATTCAGGCGCGTATTCCTTTTTTTCTTTCCACGGCCGAGAACTTCAGGATGATTTACGAAGTCTGAAATACACCACGTCCGCGACATTCTCGCGGAAGAAACGATGCAGCACTTTACGTGTTGCATCAATGAAGAAATAGTTTTTATCTGTGTAAAGAATCTGGTATTTAATGAAGATATGTCGATATTGCTTAATGCTTTTCTCCGCCGATAAAAAAAGGAATAATAGTGAACAGAATCAAAATTCATACAAATAGTTAAAATATGTATATCCAATGCAATCAAATATATCTAACAGCGTATAAATAGAAAGATAATAATTCTATATAGAAAATAAGATAGGAAACATTTACTTCTTAATTATTAATTGGTATGGAATAGATATTTGAATAAAAATATAAATAAAATATTGAATAAAATATTTCGCATTTTTAACTTAAAATAACGCGTTTTCCTACGTATGTCCATATATGGGTTTGACGTTGAGGCAAACAAAAATCGCTGCTAAATAATTCTTTCGACCAGCGCTTTTTTTCTACACGCGGACGTCGCGCGCGTGTCCGACGACAATTCGGACGCAACAAAGCGTCCTCGTGAATTCAAGCTTGATTCGCACGAATCGATATACCACAAGCGTCGAAATACGAAAGCCCGTCTCGAGCGACGCGATCTTTCTGGTACAGCTCGTATTTCGCGAACTCGGCGATACCATTGTGTCTGCACCGACAACGCTGCCGTGCGTCGACTTCCCGCAATTACGGCGATTGTCTCGATTTTTCCGCGCTTCCGGCTTTCTCACGGTATCGTACAGAGTGCACGAAGGAGGAAAGACGGGGAGGGGGGGG